CGTAACCCACAACTGGATAGAAGGTGCAAGAAGGTGTATTCCTGCTGGGCTTCTCAGCCTAGCAAATCTAGGCATTTTAGTTTCACTTTCAGCTCTTTAGATACTTTAGGTTGGGGATGTTTTGTGTAGCTGATGTGCATGTATTGGCAACATTCAAGTGATCAAATTGACTTAGAATTTAGTGGGTCCAAAATTGTCACTCCCCATTCACAGAATGCCCAATTTGGAGATATTCTGCCCGTCACTATTAAAAGAGCTTCAGATGCTACTTGATAGTCATCTTCATTTTGTGCTGGAACTAAAACTCTCGTTGTTTCTGTTTATGATTGATGTAGTTCATCATTTTCTTTTGTAAACTTCCAAGGTATAAGTTGACAAAATAAATATAGCTAAATAAAAATATTGTTTATTATTTCAAAGTTATGAAAAATGCTGCTCTGTAGTTTTATTTATTTTTAAAGTTCTAATCACTGCACGAAGTGGCAATGCTTATTCAGATAGCCTGTTTTAATAGTCGTTTTATGATATGTGCTGATAATTTCAAATAATATATTTTACACAGAGATTTTTAATTTTTTGTTTTATTTTGTCAACTCTTATTTCCCTCCAGTGAAACTATAATGTTCCTTCATGAAATATTTCATCAAGGATTAAAAGCAAGAATAGCAAACTGGCCTACATTAATTTTAGGTAACTTTGTGTGTTGGTTTCTGTGCTTAAATATTAGCATTACATTTTTTATTTAAAAGTTAAGGTTTTTTAAATTTCCTTACAATAAATTGCTTTATTTTTTATTTGCCCTGTTGTATAAATTTAGAAACTTGCAATATCTACCTGTGTATTGTTTGTTCAAAAGGATAACAATGTTAGGAAGCTGCACTGTATTTCATTTTTTTGAATAACTATATAGCAGGCAGAAATAAGACAAATGTGATATTTTTATCATTTGAAGTTCTGTCCTTGTATGAGATGTACTTGCAAAAAGCCTTCAGTTTAAATTTATTAATGTAGATAAAATTGTATCAATTACTTAATGTTCTTAATGAAGACCTGAGCAGACAAATTGCAGCAGTATTAGGGGAAACTTTAATAAAGATGCCTTCCTTTTAAATACTTGTAATTACACAATGCTACAAATGGAATTAATGTGGTTTAGACTTTTTATTTCTGTGAAGAAAAAGGAATGACTGCAAAAATCAATTTTTTGTCTTTATAGCTGATTTATTTGATATTCTTTTACCAATGCTGAATATATATCAAGAATTTGTTAGAAATCACCAGTATAGCCTACAGGTGCTGGCAAACTGCAAGCAGAACAGAGATTTTGACAAACTCTTAAAGCAATACGAATCCAACACTGCATGTGAGGGCAGAATGCTTGAAACATTTCTTACCTACCCTATGTTTCAGGTAATTTTATTGCTTGCATCATTTTTATCATTATCCTCATGATTTTTGCTCTCAATTAATCTTTCCCAAATAATGTTGTTAGAAAGAGTGGCTAAACTGAAGAAAATTGCTATAGAATGAGTCTTTTGATTTCATTCAATAGAGAAAGATTCTGTATTACAATCTTTTGTATTGGTCAGAATTACATAAGGATTAGTATTTTGTTGTTTATTATTTTCCATTCATAATTTTGCAGTGATGTATTTTTACATTATATTCAGTTTTCATCTATGAAAATTAAAATATTTGGGAGGATACCCAAATGGCATAATCACACTGCAGGAATGATACTAAAGCACAACTAGTATGCATGAAAGTAGCAATCCTCTTAGAGAATGAAAACTGCATATGCTGTTGATGCCATGGGACTCTGGTTAAAAAGGATTGTTAGGCTCAAATAAGAGAAATAGGCACACTGGTCCTGGATAGTTAGATAAAAAGGTTTCAAAATACTTCTGCTGATGTACTATGCCCATTGCAGCATGCATTTAGAACTTGCTGTAGGTTTCTGCAGCTACAGATGATTCCACTTCAAATAATTATATGGCAGCTACTGTTATTAGTTCATGAAAAATCTGTTGCCAAAGTCCTAGCGCAGGCTTTAAGACTAACAGTGGCAGCTGTCAAATAATCACTTAGGAGGAGAAAAATAAAGGTTCATTTTGGTAAAAACAGCTGGAATGGAGGGAGTTCATCCCTGTCAAGAAAACCTGTCACTACAATTTCATTGGGGAATAGCTTTCCTTCCCCCCACCCCAGCAATTTAAGCGAAGCAACCTTTATTTTTCCTATGTGACAGCTGCCCTCAGAATAGTTAATGAAAGCAGCAACTCCCTTAAAGCAGCTTATTAGAGCTTTAATAGCTGCCCTGATACTCTACACATATCTGAAGCCAGGTCAAAGATTAAAGATTAATCTGTTTCACTTTGGATGACTTTCGGGGAGAAAAAAAACTGATTCAATTTAAGATTTAGCTATCATCAGAAACAGATGCACGCTATGTTCATATTACTCTCACTGAATTGGTGTATCTATTTTAAGTAATTTTGGGGACTCTGAAGACTCCTGTACTGAACCAAGGATTCAGTAGACTCAATGAGCCCTGCAGGCGGCATAATTCTGTGACTGATTTTTGAAATAGGAAATGCTATTTTTTTTAGATTGTATTGATGATATTGTAAGGAGATCCAAGATGGTAAACATACCATGTCATAATTAATTATACATTTAATATGCATTGCTGACCTATATTTTCAATCCCTTAGATTCCTAGATATATTATCACCCTTCATGAACTTCTAGCTCACACGCCACATGAACATGTGGAAAGGAAAAGCCTTGAGTTTGCTAAATCTAAACTGGAAGAACTTTCAAGGTTTGACTGCTTTTTGCTCTCATATATAAATGTAGAACAGAAGTTTAAAATGTAAAATCAGGTATATTTATGTTTTTATAATGCCATCTTCCAAAAGACTAGCAGCTCAAAGTAATACCTATAAAGACACAACAATCAAAACATATTCAACATTGAGATACTGTGTGTATATATATGTGTGTGTAAAAAAATCTCATTGGTGTTGAACCCATTAGAGACTATTCCAAGTTAAAGATTCTACAAAACAGCACTCTTAATAACTCTCCATTGGAGAATATACTAACTAACCTTCTGGGAGGAGAATATTTGAAAGTGAAAGACCTGCAGTGGAGAAATGCTGTTGCCATTCCCTTGAATATCTCAAAATGGAGGACATTTCAATATTAGTTTATGGGATTAATTTATAGGACAGATTGGGTTTTCTCCAAAGAGGCAGTTCTGGACATACTTAGGAGCCAAGTCATGGAGGCTTGATACATTAAATTAGCATTTGAAATGTACCTAACCAATGCAGGCTTATAGACTTACTGAAATATAGTTATATGGTTTTTACCCAATAATACCATAGTTTCCAAGTAGTCCCTAAAAGCTCATGTCACATGCAAAGAACATTGTAGTAATCCACCCTACAATCTCTAATACTTAAAATCAGTTTTTGAAAAAAAAAATAACTTAGCCTTCCAGCGTTCAATTAAATTTATTTTATCACATCCATATTCACACAGGTCAATATCTCCATCTTTACCTGGAACTGTATAATTTAGTGTCTTCAATATACTTAAGATACTTCATCCTGACAAATGGATGTTCTCTCCTGGCAATTTCAGATAAATTATGAAAAGCAGGGGGATACCATAACAGAACGCCTACTGTTTTGACCTCTCTTTTGTTCCTGTCTGGAATGGCTCACTTAGGATGGAGGAGAAACATGGCAAATAATTTTCTCTGAAACTTGTAGATAGCCTAGAGGTATACCATTATAGAGGGTATTGTATACCACCAAGAAAAAAGTAACGAGAGAGCTGCATTATATCTAGGCCATGACAAAAAGCTCTACAAGTTGGATCAGTGCAAGTTTCATCCTGTGCCCAGGTCTAATCAAACTGAAAGGGGTTCAAATAATTTGCTTTTTCTGGGATATGTTGCAACTGACATCCCACTTCCTTGCCAATTACTTTACCCCCAAACAGAAAGATGGGCACATGATGAAGGTTGAACAACGGTCAGGGGGACAGATAGTTTTATCTATTTTTCCCCAACTAGAAGTGGGTAACTTTAAAGTAGACCACGAGGGTATATCCCATCAATGCAGTAAGAGCAGCAATTACTAAAGCTCTGATGCTTTTACTGCCAACGTGTAGAGTTGAATGTGAGCTCTTACGGGTATATGAGATATATTTGGAACCTTCTTCCACTGGAATGCTAGGCATTTATCTTGCCATTTCATCTCCGGGAACCTTTCCAGTAAAACTAAGAGCTCCACAAAAGTGCCAAATAGTAAGAGGCTGCTGAGAACATCACAGGTATGACCCTGGTTGCCCTGAATTCCAGATTTAAAAGTAGCACTTAATGGAACCATCTGCCAGATTGCTGAAAAAACTAATAAGTGCCTACTGGAATCCATCTGGATCCAAAAAGTACCTGGTCATGCTGCCTCAGGCCATGACAAAGTTAGAATGTCATCTTTTTTTCAAATAACAAGCCAAATGCTTTGAACACAAAATCTAATGTTTGATTTAAACTTAACATTGCTGGGATGTGTCCATAGTTGCAAAACAGTTCATGAACTATTTTTTTCCAAACTGTCCTGCCCCTAAATGTGGACACTAAAAACACTCCAGTTTCAGAAATGCCAACTAATTCTTGTACATCAGCCCTACAATATAGATCAGATCAAGAAACAGATGCAGTGTAGAATTACTTTTATTAGAATAAATATAGTAATAGAAACTAGCAAGTTTCTGAATGTGTATCCTCTTCTCCCTCTTTTATCTTCATGTGAGTTGGAGGGAGGACAATTGCTTTAGGCATTTTCATAAATCTTTATCTTTGTATGGGCTTAAACCATACGTATCTGTTTGCTGCCTTGGTAACAGATCTTCCCAGTCTCTGTCAAAGCCATTCTGTATAGTCTTTATATTATCATTCTCAACAATTTATTGGGGAGGGCAGGAGGAGGGAGAGAGAGAGATTGATTGATTGATTGATTGATTGATTGATCATTAGCAGTTTGGTCCAGGGTCAAGGCTGAAGGTTCTGAAGAACTTCCTTATGACTCCTGTCATATTTTTTTGCTCTCTGATACCCGTGATCTGTCTATCCATCTCCCCAAAGGAAATCCAGCCCTCAAATTCCCCACAGCTTAAAGCATGTTCTGGAGAGCATAAGAATCTAAAGAAATATTTCCATTTACCCAGGTGAATTGCAATCTTATCCAGCAAGGGCAACAGATATCTGACCCAAACTATTCTTATTCTTATTGGTTGGGGCTGTTTAATGAGAGAAACCCCTCCTCCCATGTTGGCATAATAAATGAAAAATGTGTTTTAAATTGTTCCCCAGTTGGAGGAATTTGTTAAGGGATGTTTCAAAGTAAAATAGCTTGAAAAACAGGAACAGCAACTGCTAAGGGAAGAGGCAATTAACTATTCAGCATACTAGTATGGAGGAGATCTTGATTTGATAGTCAGGGAAAATGACAAACTTTGTCAAGAAAAGCATTCAACTTTGACCAAACAAACATTTATGATGCACAAAGAAAGTCTTATGATGTCCATAAAGTTTACCCAAGCTATTCTTGCTTTATAAATTCATAACTAGATTATTGAATTTTTTTTGCTTTCATTTGCAATAGAATAATGCATGATGAAGTGAGTGATACAGAAAATATACGGAAAAATCTGGCAATAGAAAGAATGATAGTAGAAGGCTGTGATATATTATTGGACACCAGCCAGACTTTTATACGACAAGGTAAGACCAATGAATTTAACATTCATGTATTGACTACGCAGTTATAGAATATGAAGGAAAAATGAAATTGAAAACAAAAGAATTCATGTTGGCATCACTGGGAAGTATAAGATGCAAAATATTTGTTTTTTACATCTGCACATCTATATATTTGTAATTTCTGGGCTGCTGTTGAGCCCCACCTCTGTGCTGTTTTTTTTTCAGGAGACATGAAAAACAGCACTATAATAATAAAGCACCCATGGGAAAGTCACATAAACAATAACCGGACTATCATCTTCAGTGGACCAGAAATTCTCTCCAGCACCATGGAAAATAGTTCTGTCTGGCCGATAAATGTTGCACTCCCAAATGATGCCAACATTCGGGCAAAAGCGCAGGAGAAACTTGAAGTACTTGAAGCTTTGTCAAATGGTGGAGCGATTGTGAGGAATGAAAATAGCTGTTTGTTGTTCCCATTTTTCATTTGTACTTCTAGAACAGCTCACACAGATATCATTTGATTTCTTCTAATATTGAAATCATTTATAGTGGCAGATTTTTAAAATCATAAGTGAAATATCTGCTGATATGCTTCGGTTCTGCCAATTGGAAGACCTCTCTATAGTCCTTGTGGAAGCTTGTCAAATGTTCTAGAACATTATTTACATAATTCTGGCGTGAACTGTTATCATATATGCTAATTGTGTAGTTAATTCTCCAAATTCTCCTTCTTATGTGATTCTGCTACTGTTCCTGTAAAGAAGTGGTGGTAGAAGTATAAAAATTGGGTAGAATCCTTTAAGGAATTACAAGGCAACTTTTAAGCAGAGAATAGAACAGAAATACTAGTGGAAGATGTATCTGGCTAGCTGAAATCATGGAGAGGAGCAATCATTTTAACTTGTTTATTACACATCCCATTCATGCTATAGAAAATGCTGAAGCAATGTATAGTTGCTTTGTGTTTGTATTTTATAGACTAAAATGATGGCCACAGTCTAATGGTTTGCTTTAAGAGACCCCAAGGCCATTTGCCCATCTCTAATGGAATGTTTTCTTTGAAAAACAGATTCCAACACTGGATATAAGCTGTTGATTTAATGTCTCCACATTCCTAAGGAGTTCATTGTTTGTGAGGTTGGCAGTGGAGATGGAGAAAATGTTTAAATTGCCCAGCGGGAAATGCATTGCAGAACAACTCAAATAGGAAATTTTATAGATATATTTGATTGGATACTTTTTTCCCCCAAAGAGAATTTCTACAGAAAGCTAACACAGTTTTCCAAGTTTATATAAAAATTCCAGATAATTGTAGTAGAAAATAATTCTCCAAACAGTAGTATAGAAAATAGATTTAGATTAATATGTTCTTCCAGGGAATACAGGAAAAAAGGAAACTGTGAGTGACTGTAATAATTTTAGACATCTAAAATTTGATGTTAAGGACCCAGTGTTTTAAATAATCCTGTTTCCATCCACACAACTTCTAAATATTAGTATTAAAGTAATTTCTTCAAATCAGTGTTTTCCTTGTATTTTCTGCCCATGATTGGAAAATGAAATAGCTATGAAACAGAAAAGTTTGAGTCATGGCACTGACATAAATATAAAAAATATTTTAGTATTAGGATTCATCCACATACTTAATATTTTTATGATGAAGACTTTCACTTACGAAGTATGGAAAAGGAACTTGTTCTACAAGATGAATAATATAAATAAAATAATTCTAATTAAATGCCAGTTTGCAGGTTTTATGTTATAATACCATCAACATTTTCCTGTGGTACCTTGGCAGAGTTTTTTAGTATTTGTCAGTGATCTATATGAATTACTTTAAAAAACTTTCAAGGTTTTAATACAAAACATCCTTATCTTATGTATGTTTGCTACTCTGTTTTGGATGACTGCATTCTTGGGAAATATTTCTGGCAGTGTGGAATTCAATGTGTATTGATGACCTCTTGATCTTTTTTGTTTGTGAGGGGATTATGTTTGAAATATTCAAAACTAAAACAAATATTTTGTTGTTTGTGGATTACAAAAGGGCAAGTGAATTTTATTAATGTTAAACAACTAATCATGGGTAATCATAGAACTATGTTAATATCTATGAGTCTTAATGCTGTGTATTAATCATATTACATTTTGGTGTATTAATATGTGTTCACTGCCAGTTTACGTTTGTGCCTATATGTACAAACAATATATGTTTCATCACATAGATAGCCAGATCTTCAGACTGGATTTGGTATTTTTGTTTGCTTATTGCAGTGGTGTCAAACTTGATTTCATTGAGGGCTGCCTCAGGGTTGTGTTTGACCTTAGAGGGCCGGGGGTGGGACACGGGTGGCTGGGTGTAGGTGTGGCCAGGGTAGGCATGGTTGGGGTGGGCGTGGCCATGGTGGACATTTGGCACAAGCTCAAGTTGCATCCACCCCCCACTTTGCATTCAAAACAGCTGTTCCAGACAAAGGGAGATTTACTTTCTGGCACAAATAGTCTCAATTCCATAATGTAGAGATTAAAGTCATGTAGAGTCCCCAGGTGCTATGGGGCTTGACTCTTTTGTATAGGAGCAGAGCATAAATGAACTGACTATTTTTCCAGAATGTCTCTAAAAACTGTCTGTCCAACACTCTATCAATCTTTGTTACTATCTCTGAAACAGCCTAGAAGAGGACTTAATATTGCTGTACAACTTTTAACCTATTAAAATCATTCCAAAAATCAGGAGTCATCTTATACACTGGTATACGGTGAACTGAAACTTACTGGTTCCATCTTACCAGATAAGATTATTTTCCCAAACTAATTTTCCAGATGCGTAGCTATTCAGTTGCCTTTAAAATAAACTCTTTGCATGCTCAGGAACAGTCTAGGTCTTCTTCCTTCATCCTGAAGTCCGGACTCCAGCATTAAAAAGGATGTAAAAAAATAATGAAGCCAAGCTTTCAAGCCCGCCACCTGAAAAACAAACATTATACAAGCCCGGTGTGACTTTGCCTGTGTATTGTGACTCCCCTCTTCAGTCAGATTGATCCACAGGATAGGAAGATGGTGTGTGTGTGTGTCCGTCTTTCCGCTTTCCTGGCCGGTTGCACATCCTAAACTTTTTCTTTGCTTTCCCCCTCTCAAAGATATCGGGGGAGAAAAAATACACAGGGGGTGACACTGAGGAAAAGCACCTTCTCCTCTCACTCTTTCAATGCTCACTCCCTGCCTGCTTACTTTGTATGGTCCTATCCGATGAAGAGGTTTCTCCCCTGGGTTCAGGGGAGCCTTTGGGCTTGCAAGCCAAGAGGAGGTGGAAGCGGTTGAGCTGGGCTGCCAGCTGCTCGAGCGGAGCTGGACAAACCTGGCCATGAGGAGCTGGGGTCGCTCCTCACGATTTTCTCGAACTTCTTCCAAGCTCTGATCCTGGGGGATACAGCTCAGGGACGAAGATGAGGAAAAGCAGGGTGTACCGCATGGTCTTGGCCACTTGCTTGGGCTCCTTGCTGCTGGTCATTTTCTACTTCCAGAGCAGCCTGAACCCGGGTGATTAAACATTTACCCTGCAGTCCCATCCTGCTCACCTTTTTCGCCTCAGCAAGCAATGTTCCTTTGGGTGGGGGCAGTGCTCTCTTTTTTTCAGCCTCTAAATTGAAACAATGAAGGGACTCATGGCACTACCAGCCTTTTATTTCTAGCGTAAGTTCTTCACCAGAGACCCAACACCTAGGTTTAATAATGTGGCCTCGGGAAACCCACTTCATGGCTTTTGCTGCAAAGGCTTCGCGTAAGACCATCCCTCCCCCCACTCCTCACCCGCATCCTGCTGAAGTTGTCCCGGACCGCAATGGGACAACTCGCCATGGCCAACTTGCTGCGGGGCAATATTGAAATCAAATCTGATGTTTTTTAATTTTTATTTGGTGTGCCTCAGAGGAGGGGTAGTCTTATATTGCGAATATAGCCCAAACCCTATATTTTAACAGGAAAAATAGGGGGTCGTCTTTTATACCGAGTCATCTTATACGCGGAAAATATGGTAGTAATAATTTACAAAATTGATCCAATTCTCAATGACCCATGGTGGCTCACAACAATCAAAAAATTTAAAATTAAAATTAAATCAATCACAGGTAAAAGGTTAAGATAAAAGATAATTTTAGTGATACAAGGGGGCTCACACTCTCTCATCAAAGACCCGGGTGAAGAGCCAGATATTTTTGGCTCTTCTGAACAACTGTCATCCAGGTCTTGGAGGGTACCTAGTTCTAGTTGGCAGATGCTACTAAAGAGAGGGTGAAGAAGATGCTGCCTCCTGTAGCACTCTGCTGGCCAAAACGTGCCATGAGTGCCTCTGCCTCTGTAGCACTCTGCTTCCTGCCTATGGGGTCAGCCTAGAAATATCTGGCAGTTGAAAATGGGCTGTGGGGCCTCACGCAGTCTCCCTGTGGCCCATTTCAGCCTCCATGGCTTCCTGCAGACTCTGCTGGCCAAAAATGGCTGAGGCCCCACTATGGCCTGTTTTTAGCTGGCACCATGGGTTGATCCTTTGATATTTCCAGGCTTGTCCTGTGAGCCAGATCTAAGCACCCTGCAGGCCAGATTCGGGATGTGCGCCTTGAGTTTGACACCCCTGTCCTATTGGGTCCTTCCAGAGGATCTGGAATAGGCAGATATGAATATTTGGTGGCATTACAGATACCATCATAGGATGTAAGTTGTTCCAAGTAAAGCTGCATTTTGCAATTGACTGGTGGTGAATTTGTCAGTGCTGATGGTGTTTAAGTGGTGCTCCGTTTGTTTTGGCATTGCACCCAAAGCACCTATTACTATTTCTACCTTTTTTTCGTCCTAGTCATTTTATTCTATTTGCATATGTTTGTATTTTGTTTCCCCCCCCTCAATTCTTTCTCTTCTATTCTGCTGTCTCCAGGTATTGCCATATTCACTATTCATACTTTTTTTGTTTTTCTTGTTAACAATTGTTAAGTTTGGGATGTTAGGTAGCTGGTGTCTGTTTGTTTGAATTCTAAAGTCCCAGGGCACTTTATTTGCTTTATTTTATATTACTTTTTCTACTTTATGGTGTTGGCTGTTCTTTCTTGCAGGCAAGTTTTATTTCTTACAAATCTTCCAATGTACCATTGTTGCTACTTTGTCATGCCGTTGTTGGTAGTCAATCTAGACAATCTTCTCGCAGTAGCTAATCAGATTATTCACTGTTTCTTCTGCTTCTCTGTAATGACGTCATTTGCTATCTGTTGCTGTCTTCTCAATTCTGGTTTTGTATGCTTGGTCTTGTTCATCCAGAATTAACTCCTTTGTCCCTTTATTCAAATTTCTGGCTTTTAACCATTGCCAGGTCTTGTTTTCCCTGCTATTTTTTTTTAATATACTGGCCATATAATGCTTTGTTGTCTCATGCTTCTTTCTGTTCTTCATTTGGTCTTTCTTGTAGACTTCTTGTAGACAGTTTGGTTTATCCCATGCTCATTAGGCCTTCTTGGTATACTAGC